ATATATATATATATATATATATATATATATATATGTGTGTGTGTGTGTTTTCATTTAGTCTTCGATTAGTAATAAGCTTACTAGCTTAACATAATGCTAAACACTTAAAAAAAAGCTCTTTTGATTAGCTAAAACAGGAAGTCACAGTGTTGTCCAGGCATTGAGGCAATCAGGCATTGAGAAAAGGTTGTAGGAACTTTTATGGAACCAAAGGAGAGTTGATATTTCGCATTTTAAGAATAGCACTTTTCAGTTTATGAGCAGCATAAGGTCTGTGGTTAACATTACTTCATTACTTGAAGATACTTTCACATTTTGTTCTGAAACATAAATTACAGTCATACACTACCATTCAAAAGTTTGGGATCAGTAAGGTGGGGTTTTTTATGATGTTACAAAAGATTTCTATTTCCAGTGGGTTTTTTTTTAACTTTCTATTAATAAAAAAATCCTGAAAAAAACATTATTCCCCAAAAAATTCGAATATTTTATATATTGCTTTATATATTACTTTATTATTGAATGTATTTTTGATCAAATAAATACAGCCTTGTTGAGCATTTATTTCAGAGACTTTCTTCAAAAACACTTTAAAAATCTTACAGACTCAAAATTTTTCAAACTGCTTTGTGCTTTAAAAATGCTTGTTGCTAACAAGCTGCTACTTAAGGACTACAATGGTTGTCAGCCATGATTAATTTATTCTACAACTGAAAGTGGGGGATTTTAAAAGAAATAATATTTGCCTGATCATGTGATCTCAACGCGGCCACATAGACTGTATAAAAACGGTCGGCCACCATAAAACAGTTTTTTTTAAGCCACTGATTTGACTGGAGTATTCTTGTAATTTTTATAGATATTTTTCACAATTACCATTCATTTAGTTATGTGCAAAACATTTTAATGGGGAAAAATTAGTGCACCTTTACAAATATTTTGACTGCAACACCTGCTTCAGGTTCATATGCCAAATGAGTTTCCTGTCCTCAGCTGGTCCCAACCTGCTTGAACATAGACTTTCAATGGCTTCATTTGGGTCATAGAACTGATGATGCACACAACTTAGCCAAACTCATATTTTGGAGGAGCACTGATTACTTTGTGGTCCAGTTGTTGCAGACTCTGGTCTACAGGGTACAGCCGCCTACTGCTCCTTTACTGTAGGCTTTTCTTGAGCCGAAGAACTGTGTATCTGGATGATAGCAGGCATTTCTTGTGCCAGATCACTCCAGGCTGAAAGATACCACATTTTCTGAGAGTCAGGCAATTTTAAATATGAATTCGTTAGCGAGCTTTGACTGTATTGCTGCCCGTTCAATGCTTACAATTTGAGCCATTAATTTAGGTAAGTTGATTAATTAGCTTTTATTATCACATGCTTTATGTATACTTGCTATGTATTTTGTTACTGATAATAAATTCTAGCCTGGTTGATTATTTAATTAATGTTTCTGGTGAGTGTTATTGATGAAACATAATTCACAGACAGATGCTATTGATGTAACAGCTTTTGTTGTGATTGATTTCAGGTTAATGGAATCGATCTGCGAGGTGCCACTCATGAACAAGCTGCAGCTGCGCTGAAAGGAGCGGGTCAGACGGTAACCATCATCGCCCAATACCGGCCCGAGGGTAAGTGTCCGTCAGCTCCTCCTGACCAAACACCGTTGCTGAAGTTCACATGATTCTTACTCACAGAGCCACTGCAGAGGTCGCCTTTAGCTGCAGGCAGGACAGAAACACAACTCACCCAGACATTTTTGGGCCAAGCCCAGCCCGGTGCGCTCATTATTCCTCCTGACTGTTACAGAATAGCGCATGTGCCCTTGGAGTGTTGAGGTGCCATGTTTGATAAGTGTCAGTTAGGAGGTTTTGCTGCTCTGGACTCCAGTGACCCATTCAGATGGGGTCGAATGCATCGCCGTAGTCTGAATGTTTTCACTGGCTTATCTTACTTAAAGATGAAGTGTGTCATTTCTTCCATGTGACAGTGCTTTCTCCTGTGCTAGTTTAATGTGCAGAGACAACTTTAAAAGTAAACCCGGTTTCATGAATTCCACAAAAATATTTTCATGGTTTCCACAAAATATTAAGCAGCACAACCATTTTCAGCTGTGATAATAAGAAATGTTTCTTGAGCACCAGATCAGCATATTAGAATGATTTCTGAAGGATCATGTGATACTGAAAATTCAGCTTTGCCGTCACAGGATCAAATAAATAAAAAATAATACAGTCGAAAACAGCAAAAACAAAAGTTATAACAGTATTTTTTCTCCCCTTAATATTACAATTTTTACTGTACTTTTGATCAAATAAATTAAGCCTTGGTGGCATAAGAGACTTATTTCAAAAACACTGAAAACTTTTTTAAATATGAGTTCCTTAATTTTTTTTAAGAGCCCCTTAAATGAGTTTCAAACACAAAACACCTACAGTACTTAAAAAAATTATGTAGACTATAATCATTTTGAAAAATGGAGAAAGATGCTTTGTAGATGCAGTTGGTGTAGATGTGGCATCTACCAGCAGGGGCCAACTGAAACATGCTAACCACCAAAACCTTGAGATGTTTGGGAGGTTTGAGATGAGAATTCCTGTTTGTCTGAAGTAGAGTGTTGCAGGGATGAGGTAATTTTGTGTGCCAGCTCTCAAGTTAGCACCACCCTGGTTCCCTCTACAAATAATTTTGAAGCCTAAATACAATTGCTAGAAGTAAAAAAGTTAGGCTATAAACAAACTACACCGCAGTCAGAAAACTTCAACATCATCATCACTAAGCTAAGTAAAGTACTTTGCCCAAGCGTGAGTAAAAGCAGACTAGTGCGTAGATTAATTTTTTTGTTTGGCGTGATGATGTTTATGTCCCTGTCTCTGACAGCCTCTGTACTCCCATTTATTGGCCTTTTTCAAGACCTTGAAAAAACTGGGTAATTTATTATATCATAAAATAAAATGTGAAAATATCTTGACCTTGTGTTAACCACAGACCTTATTTAAGACCTTTACCCTAATTCGGAAAAAACAAAAACAAAAAAAAACATTGACTTCCAGACAATGGAACTTGAAGTTTAAAAATGCTAACTGAGTTTTAGGACTAATTCCTCCAGAACTCCATATAGGTAACATGCATTATTTTTCTAATTCCAATTGTTGCTACTAGGGGTGCCAGAAATGACACACTTTACCTTTAAATTGTAATCCTATTGTCTATGATATTGGAAACGGTATATGAGGTGTGCATAGCATGAGCTGCAGGTGTGTGCTCATACAGTCTGTGATAAGGTGAGAGAGACAGGTGTGGCAGCATGATCAGGTGTGTACTGATATGTCCTCTCTTTTTTCACCCGTCAGAACTTGCCCTGTGCTCCCCACGCCGGGCCCCGCCACCAACTGCAGGTTTGTGCCATGTGATCAGCACCTGGGTCAAGAGCAGTACCACACAGACAGACTGCACAGAGCTAGACCACAACTAAAGACTCAACTGCTAGAACTGCAGATTTTACAGTTCCTTTGTTTTGCCTTCCCACGAGGCTTTGGGAATTCCAGGACAGTTGGGGCACATAGATCTGAAGTTTACTGCTCAGGTTCTGTCTAACTCTTTGCAGTCTGGCTGAGGAACGTGGTCTTATTCTTGCCCCAGTGGCGTCTCTGACCATGGGCCTCTCATTCAGGGGAAAGGAACAGAGAGAGACCTTGCTCTCCTGATAATCCTGTGTGCATCCTTTATTCCCCCTGCCTGCTGCCTCACTTGATAAACTCCTCGGCTCCTGTTGTGCTTGTTTTTGGCTCTAACCCGCTCGTCCAACACAGACAGCTGCTGTTCAGTACATACACATCCAGATATTCATCCTGGGAGATCCAAGACATTTTATAACATTTACATTTTTCCTTTTAGCAAATTTAAATATAAATGGACTTAGAAATGAGGTACATAAGCGATAATCATAAATATTAGAATATATTGAGGTTGATGAGATTATTATTATTTTTTTTTACGTTTTTGTGTCTTATGCTCACCAAGGTTGCATTAATTTTTATCAAAAAAAGCAGTAATAATGTTAAATATTATTACACTTTTTTTATTTTTTATATTTTTCCCATGATGGCATTTACATTTATGCATTTAATGTGCTTTTATCCAAAGAGATTAACAAAAGAGGAGGAACAAAGCAACATAGGAAAGCTGATTTTTTTTTAAATTATCAATGTTAAAAACAGTTGTGCTGATTAATATTTTTGTGTAAACCATGATAGATTTTTTTTAGGATTCTTTGGTGAATAGAAAATTGAAAAGAACGGCATTTGTTTGAATTATAATTTTTTTTTTTTACTTTATAAAAGTCTTTACTGTTACTTTTGATTAATTTAATGTATTCTTGCTGAATAAAATATATATATAACTTTCTGACCCCAAACTATTGAACGGTAGCGTGTATTTAATTGTTATAATCAAGCATAAGGAAGGACTGATACATAAGAATTACACAATTCAGTATGAAAGTGTATTGAGTATTATTATTTAGTATTATTATTTTACACAGTTAGCACTGTTGGAGCTTCATTTTATTTGTTATATTTAATTCTAAAATAAAATACAATATTTTATGTTGATATATTGCATTTCCTTATATTTTATCTTATATATTTGGATATATATATATAGGCTCTTATTTTTTGGTCCATTTAAGAAAAGGCTGTGCATATTTTATGATTTAAATTTGCCCACTTTTTTGTACACTATCATATAAATCAGTGTTTCTCAACTCCAGTCGTGAGGGCCCACCTCCCTGAATGTTTTAGATGTCTCACTAATTAAAACAGTTGATTCAATTCATGTGTGTTAAGTAGTGGAGACATCTAAAACATTCTGGGAGGTGTGTTCTGAGATCTGGAGTTGAAAACCACTGATAAAGATGGCCTCAAAGCTAACACACATAGACTAAAAGCCACAAAACCCTTTTTTTAGGTTATATGTTCTAAATTAAGAGTTCAGCGTCAGGGTTCGGGTCAGCAGCATTGCTTGTCTTACTGCACTGCTCACTGTCTCCATTCCTCTCCTCCTCTTCCACCTTTGACCCTCTCTCCCAAACTACCTCCTGCCCCCTGCTGAAACCAACACACCTTTACCAAAACACACACAGATCACACTCACAGAATGGCAGCATGTTAGCCCAATCGCAAACACATACTACTTTTGGTCTATAGCAGTTTTCTAAACTAATATGTTTGAACATATTAGTACAGATTCAGTCTGTTTGCCGATTAAGTTTGCAGATGCAGCTGCAGTATTTGTATTTAATGCAATAGCATTTGGACATTAAGTGTGACTTAAATTTCTAAATATTTGTTGGGACCGCTGTATATATTAGTGTATATATTATTTACCAAAACACACACAGATCACACTCACAGAATGGCAGCATGTTAGCCCAATCGCAAACACATACTACTTTTGGTCTAGCAGTTTTCTAAACTAATATGTTTGAACATATTAGTACAGATTCAGTCTGTTTGCCGATTAAGTTTGCAGATGCAGCTGCAGTATTTGTATTTAATGCAATAGCATTTGGACATTAAGTGTGACTTAAATTTCTAAATATTTGTTGGGACCACTGTATATATTAGTGTATGTATTATTAAAAATTAACACTACACATGATTGAGTGTTCTGTAACATTAAAAATAATAACCATAAGGCATATGACTGACACATGATGGTTTATTTTAGCATTCAAACATCTTTCTGATACTGTATGATCCTCTGCTGTTCCTCATCTGCTTTGAGTTGATATTATTTGACTTTAAGAGAGCAGAGGCCAGCTATAATCATACTGAAGATAAGTGTTAAGATTCCTGTCATTCTGATCACTGTAGTGGAGTCTGACCAATGATTTTCTAACCTCTGACACCCATCCAGCATATATCATTGGATGAGATCTTATATTGAGCAGTTAGATATGTGGAGGAGAGACATAGTTAAGGTGACAATCTTTGTTTGGCAGGAGCTTAGAGGGGCGTAAGTGCTCTGAGGGAATGAATTTGGCAAGTGCATAGGATTCCCCATTCATAAAAAAAGGTCTTGAAGACTGCTTTAGCAGATGGAGGAAGTGAGGATGGCAGCAAGAGACAGAGTTATCAGAGGTTTCTAGAGCAGCTCCCAATTTGACATTCTGTTTTATTCCTGAACCAGTAACTCCCAACTTTCTCTGAGCCCTCTTGCATTGTTTCCTAAATTGTGGCTGAGTTGAATGATAATGTTGAACTTCAAGCCTTTGTTATGGGTATTGTGAATCTCCAAAAATCGATTCTCTTTGCATTATCATTTAATTCTAATGGCAATTACCTCCGTTTGCAATATAGCTGTGCACCCACTATGCAAAACTGTTTAGTATAGATGTTTTGTGGGTTTTCACAATAAGTTTCAGAGGTGCTTTTACAAGTTCGCAGTAGTCAGCATTATTAGTATTTAGTCATAGAGTCGTGGTTCCAACTACACTGGTCTTTCTCTGTGGCTCAATCCAATTCCCCTGATGCTCTCGGGATCGATTCTGGGGAGGTTGAGCTCATTAAGGTGCAGGGATAAATGCAAGCTTGCACTTTCTGTAGGGGTGTTGTGGGACTGCTGAGATGGGCTTTCCAAGGGTCCTTTTCATCAGCAACTCCCGAGTCATAGCAATACGACATTCTCACTGTGTAGCTAGCAACACAAAAAATGTACAATTCCCAGAATACTGAAGATGGATTAATAGTCAACCAAAATCATAGCGAAGCTAAGTTGACATTCTTACAGTAAGTCTGTCAAATCAAAACATGAATTAGACTCATGTTTTTATTCCTCCTCAAGTATTGAGTGACTATTTTGTAAACCTTGAAGGGGTTATCTCATACATTTAGTTTTGATTTGGCGATTTTCTGTGATAATTAGGACTAACGATGGATAAAAATTGATTGCATAACATTTACTGAGAAAAGCCCCTATGTGAAGATAATCTAAATCTGAAATTGCACTTATAGAAGGAAAATCACTTATTTAGGAATTAAAGTAAAGGTTGGGGGCATGATTAAATGAGTTTGATTTTTACAACATTATTTTGTTGTTCATTACCATTTTGCAATCTCTCTCTGAATTTTAAATTAAAGTTTTTTTCTTCTCTGCCTTCAAGACTTTTATGTAAAAGTCCTTTTTTATGTTTTGCAGAGCCACATATGCTTTGAAAAAATGGTTTTATAGCTTAGTTTTAATAAAATTGAACTACAAAATAAAATAAACACTTGTAATTAAAAAAGATTTTTCATTATATGACCTCAGTTAGAAAGGTAGAGAGAAGGTTGACAGATGATTGAAGCATGGTCAGACAGCATTGGCTAGCTTGTGTACTGTCTCTGGGGAAACATGATTACATGCGATTTTAACAGAGTGCCCTCAGGTACAGCAAACACTTCCTGAACCTTGGTAATTTCACAGAAATAAGTTATACACTGAAACTCACACACAGATCCTCAGATTGACTGACAGACCATCTTCTCTTCCATGAGTGAATGAATGGATTGCTGAGATTTATTTATAGTTTTCAGCACCATTGCTACAAAAAATACTTTAATGTCTCATGGCTGTCCCTCAGTGCTAGCCTACTAAAAATCATGGAATTACTCTCAGAACACATCGCAATTTTTAGCTGCCAATTTGAAACCGAGAACAATAGGCCTTGAAAAGGTTTTTCAGAACTGACATTTTCATTTGTGTGCGTGTGTGTGTGTGTGTGTGTGTGTGTGTGTGGGTGGGTGTGTTTGTGTGGTTCTGTTAGTGTGGCTTTCTGGTAGACAGGATTGAGGCCACTAGTGGGGACATAGTGACATCACGAGTGTGCATACACTAAACTCAACAGACAGCCAATGGTCCCTTTTCACAAGACTGTGATGACGCGTTTCAACGGTCATCAGCATCGTAAATTCTCAAGTTTTTTGTATTTAAATTTTTTTTTTAAATGTATGTACATTTATAACACTGTACTTTGTATTATATTACCTTTGCATCAAATTACAAGGGTGTTTCTAATACAGCGAGTGATGGTAGAATTTGACAGCGTTCTCTCTACTGACTGCCGTTATCAATCTCTCTCTATTTTTTCCCTTTTTTTTTGAAAGTCATAAAAACACTACCATGGAGTTTTTCTTTTGCTATGTGAGCAAATGGGAATCCAAAAAAATATATTTGTGGTAGTCTCCCATTCACTGCTATAGAAGTTTACCCAACTATGACGCCTTCTGCTGCTGAGAAACCCGGAAATGTGAAAAAGGTCTATGACGGGCCAAGAACACCTGAAGGAACTCTATACATACACTCACACACTTTTAATTCGCATCTAAATGAGGACATACCATAGACTTCTGTTGTT